CTGTTGATTCATTTTATCCATTATCAGTTTACATATGCTTACCTTTTCTTTGTAGAAATGTAAAGATTTTCGAAATCTGGTTTGTGGAAGTTTATCATGCTCTGCTGTTCAATTTTATTGTATTTGCAATAAATTTATAAATGTTGGTGGAACTAGTACAAGCACAACAAATGTGTTCATTTCATTGGCTGCATTTTGCCCACACTAAAACATGGTCAGCAACATGTGTGGTTGGATTTTTTCCCAAAATTAATGCTTTTCACATGTGCTCATAACCATTTTATTAAGAGATGGTGCTATTTTTAGTGCATTTTGACTTTCCTTTGGTAATTGCAGTTTTATCCCTTCTTCTGCATCAGTTTCTTGTCCCAGACTGGAAGTTTTATATGCTTCTTCACTCCCTTTCTTTCCCTTCTTTCTCCTTCTTTTTCTTATCCTTTTTTGGTTGTTTCAAGTTGAATGATCAGCATTGTAGAGTACTATCTTGATTACTTTTCAAGTGTAATAAATTGTCCGTGTTGCTGACTTAGGTTTATATGATTTTTGCATCTTATACAGGCTGTAAGAGTGGAACATTGTGAACGTGTTCACGTGATTATGGCAACAAAGCGAGTTTGTATTGCCAATTGTCGTGAATGTGTGTTCTTTCTGGGAGTAAACCAGCGACCACTTATGGTTGGTGACAACCATAAGCTACAAGTGAGTGTAACCTTATTAGCATTAATGGTGTGCTTATAAAATGCACTTAGCTTTTCATACCTAAATTGCCTGTAATACCTCGTTGACAGTTTTTGGTGGAAATTTAGATGTTCTTTCTTACAACAATGCAACTCCTAATGATAATTATTATAAAGAGAAATGTAATTGAACAGTAATTGCTTAGAATGGAGGGTAATTATGCACATCTTGAAAGAAAAATGCAACCTGTACTCAGTGCTATTATGTTAATGTTAAAAAGTTTGTCAATGGAACCAATTCTACATTTCATCTGTGATACAGAGGATGGTTAACAGTTCTGGAATTTCTTTTCTTGCATTTTATCAGGTTGCACCATATAACACATTTTACGCCCAATTGGAGGAACACATGGCTGAAGTTGGCATTGAGACAAGTATCAACAGATGGGATGAGCCTTTGGCACTGGGAGTGGTTGATCCACATGATTCATTGTCTCATCCTGCTGGGGTATCTGATGCTCAAGCTGAGTCAGCTACACACCTAGACCCTGATCAGTTTACAAATTTTCTGGTATGTTTTTGTATGCTTCCTACCCTAGCCTGGATATTTTTGACATATTTTTCTCTTTAATGTCAAGAAAAATGAGCTTGTTCCTAGCTAACACGGAAATATTCTGTTGATTGATTAGATTCCAAACTGGTTTGAAGGTGAATTGCCTGGGTCTACAAAAGATAACCCATTTCCACTGCCAGATCTTTACTCAGCATCTCAACAAAGAAATGTATGTGCACCTAACCATGTGATTCAGTTGAATAGAATGAGATTTTGTGTTCTCTGCTTCTCTGAAGCAAAGATTAATATCTTGGAAGTTTTCTCTGGACTTTAATTTTCTGATTTTCCCCAAAATCATCTTGCAGCTAAAGAATTTAGATGAGATAAAGCAGATGTTGAGGGAAGCGCCACTTGAAGAAAATCGAAAAAGAGAATTGTCATGTGCACTTCACGTATACTTCAAAGACTGGTTATATGGTAATATTTGTTTCTCTGTCATTTGTTACCGTTATGAAGTTCATATTGATTCTCTTTACTCTTGTTGTGTGCATTATAACTTAAATAATTTTTTGGAGTTGTTTCTCTTTCTAATTTGTGCTGCACTCATGTTACTTCTCACATTCAGACAAGTAACCTCAAGAATTCAATATATTAAAGAAGTGTTCATAGCTTTTTTTTTTTTTTTTTTTTTGTAATTATATGACAGCTTCGGGGAATATCCGTCAGCTTTACTGCCTACAAGGCGAATGATGGCAGATGCTCTATGGTGAGACTGCATGTTTAAGTGAGGCAAAGAAGGAAGCTCTTTGGTTTTCTTTCGTTTTTAACCCTTGCCAGGATCCTCCAGCAAATTCTGTGGCTGCTACAGGCAGACAAGAGTCGCTCCATTGTGCTTCGGGGTGGTACAAAATTTTTATGGATTGACAACTGGTGCACAGAATGCCATCAGACAACCTTTGCTAATCTCATTGTAATATTTTTTGAATGATAAAAGAAAAATAATCTTTTATAATAGTTGTTAATCTAGGTTTGCAATCTTGTGAATTTCATATTCCTTGATCTAGTTATGTTAGATATAAAAATTCTGAACGTCTTCTTTTTTCAAGTTTTTACCACAATTTCGTACTTGGAGTACACTTATTTCCAGTCTTCTTTTGAACTTGTTGAGACACCCCCTTAGGAGACAATTAGAAGTGCATTATGCTCAAAATTGACAGTGTCTCAGCAGGAAATATTTACTAATTTTGTTTTACACATGAGGCAATGGTAGAGTTCTCATTTTGTTTTACACATGAGGCAATGGTAGAGTTCTCATTTTGTTTTACATGTGACGTGATTCAATTAGTTCGGCCAATTCCTATACCATCCCGCCCAAGCAGAAACTAACCCACTTATTCCCAGAGTCACAGCATGGTTGCAGAACGGATTCGGCTCTATATCTGCCACCGCGATGATCAAATCCGCCACATTTGCGGCCACGGCCATCAACCTCATCACTCTGTCAGCTCTGATCTTCCTTATACTCTCCTTCACATCCTTTGAATCATCTTCTTTTAAAGCAACAAGCTTCCTTTCTGCTTCCAGCCCTTGTTTGATGCTAATAAAATCAGATATTATGAAGAAAATATACCCAAAAGCCTCACCAAAGGCTGATATAAAGCTCATCCTTCTAGCTAGCTTAGCATCCAAAGTTCCAATCCTTGATAACCAAAGAAAATGGTCAAAGAAGAAGTACACCATTTCCCCTGCATTGGCAAGAACAGCAAGGAACCTGAAAGTTGGGGTAGAGCCAGGGTTTCGTCTGATGGCGTTGAATCCGGTAAGGAACCTGATTCAAAATGGTTATTCACAATTTTAGATATATATTGAAAACTAAAAAATTCAACCTTTAGGAGTGTGTGGAGAAAAAAAAGTTAATTAGTGGTCATAACACAATTTACAGATTTAATGAATGTACCTAAGATCTCACCTAATGTTGATTTGGGAAGAGAGTATTTCTAGTGTGCTCTCCCTGGGGAATGCCTATGGCATGGCCATGAGCACTCTACCACCTATTTCCAATTTAGGCATATCTAAACACACATCCCGCAGACACCAAGCATAGAGACATATATCATGAAGACTTTTTTGTTTGATATATCTTTTAAAAAACATCTTTTAAAATTAAAGATATTTTTTATTGTAAAAGTTGAAGTTGAATTAAACGCAATTTTTTAAAAGTGTTTTTTATACTAAAATAGTTTTCACCTTCTAATTTTAGAAGCTGTGGTACCAATCCTATAGCTTCTAATTAAGATAAGAGCTTTTATAGTTAATCTTAAGAATTAAATATTAAATTTTATCAATTTTTAAATTTTTTTGTTATTTTATGTATAAATCTATGTATGATTCTATACTTTTGTAAGAGTTATATTCGAACAACACTTCTATAAAAACTATAGTTGGACAAAAACAAGATTCTTAATATTTTTTTGGAACGGAAAACAAGATTCTTAATTGTGCTTCTACCAGTGCCAAGTCATAACTAAATTCAATCCTTGTTTTTCAGAGAATGGTAATAATAGAGCAAAATCGAAAATTTCCAACAGAACCTGCCGCTTCTGAAGGCTTTTCTGCTAAGACCGGAGGCCACCTCCCATTGTTTGAATCGTTGTGCAGTTTCTGGGTGTGTGGATTCTGCATGCCAATGGACAAGCTTGGACACATACTGAAATGTCTTGACAAGTTTGTCGATGCCATCTCTCTTCGCTAGAAAGATTACAAGCTTGTCTACTGTATCATTCATTTTTAGGGTTTAAGGGCTTGGTGGTTGTTGATGATGATGATGAGGAGGAGGAGGAGGAGGCGGAGAGGTTTTGGGTGTGTGGAGAGCTCATTTGGTTCATGCTAGGGGAGGGGTGGGTATTTTCTGTTCGTTTAACAATTAAAGGAGGGCCAGAGAAATTATGGGTTGTTTGTTTTGGATAAATAGTGTGAGGTGTCCTTTGTGTTTGGTCTTCTTTGGCTACTTACGACCAGTAGCTCCCTTGTGTTGCTTATTTGCCGAGGAGACATTATTTTGTCTTTAGGCACAAAATTGAACTCTGTGTCATGCAACGAGTAGAAATTAATGTCCAATTCAATGTATTATAATTTTTATTTTTTGTACATCTAATAATGAAGAACTATATAAAAGAGGATAGCTTTTCTCTTTCTTTAAATTCCTCTTCATTGGACTCAAAATTCAAACTTAAAATCTTCAACTTAAAATCTCAAATTCTTAACTATTGAATCAACTCATTAAGATTTAATGTATTATAATAATATATAAAAATTATTTGGCAACAAAGTTTGTGAATAATAAATTTTTGTAATATAACAGTAGCAGAATCAGTAAATATTTATAGGTGGGCAAAATGAAACACTAATTAAGAAATGGACTAAAAAAATCATATGAAATAAATACAAAGTGATACAAATACAAAAATATGTTTTTAAGTCAAACCATACATTAAAAGTGTAGTTTAAATACTAAAATGACCAAAATATTCTTAATAAAACTCTTCAATGTGTTTATTAATTAATAATAATTTAATAATTTTTAATTATCGTAATGTACTTTTAATATGCAATTCAAAGCGAAAAACATCAAATTCATATAAATAAAACTACACATGTTAACTCTCATTCTTGTTGACTTCCTTTTAATTATATTTATCTTTTAATTGGTATATGAAAATGAGAAATTGCTATATAAATAAATTCATAGACTAATCATTCATAGATTTTTACTATGCCATGTTATATACATTATGTTGCCCGAGTATGCTGTTTGTGTCTGGCTAATATTGTTCTCAATTAAGTTTCCTATTCAATAGTCATATCATTTCAAGATATTAATCTTTGAATTTATATATCAAGATATTAAGCTTTGAATATGTAATGTTCATATATTTTTTTACGAAACTTGAATCTGCAACTTAAATGTTTTGCAGTATTTAAGAAGTAGAAAATGGCATCACTAGAAAACTTAACCGAGGGCAATTAAACTAAATACAAAGTATATATCATGCTCTAACAACATTCATAATTGTAAAAAAAATAATTGGTATATTTTTTGGTTTAATATATTTATTAATACTCACTGATTCAACAATTAAAATTTTTAGTTTTAAGTTTTTTATTTTTAATTTAAATTTAAAATAATAATTTTTTAACGAGTGTGTTAAACTAGAAAACCTAATTTTAATCACAAGAAAATTAAAAGCAGCATCTAATTGCAAATTGGTTCAAACTATGTATACACACATAAACTACAATTTTCTACAATCAGCACAACAAATTAAAATAGGCTTGCAAATCTTCAGAATATCATGGAGTTTTACGATTTCATGGGAGTTGGGAATTCAAATAATGCATCTAGTAGCAGGGCTGCTGCTTTCAAGTACTTCAGCTGCTGCATCAAGTTCAGGTGCTACCCAGGCATCATCTTTCAGGAAAGTGGTGACCATGGAGGATGTTGGTGTACTTAAAAACCGAATGTTTTTGTATAAAGAGGATGTGGACACTCATATTGTTCCTCATTTGAAGAAAGAGGAGAAGCGAATTCTGCGTAGGGGCAAGAAATCTCTAGACATTTGGGTTATTGACAAATATGGCACTTGTTACGCAATGGGGTTAATATTCATGAACCCTCACTATCATCTTCTCGGAGCTGCACCTCTAGTTTTAGGAAAGAACTTTCAAGGGAATCAGGTGATTGAAATTAGTCTATACATTTCTTACTAATATTTGGAAAAAGGATACTGATTAGTACACTATTTGATTTAATATAGTATATAAAATACTTATTAAAAATTATTATTTCTTAATATGAAATTTAAAAAAATAAATTTAAAGATGTAGTCATATATATAACATATAGATATTAATTAAATTGGTTATATTTATATTATATTTTAATAATTAAATTAAGTAATAACTAAAAAATGTGTTAAATTAGAAAGTATACCAATTATTTTTTTAGAAAGGAATGCCACTAGCAGTGCTTGTGCCTAATAAGGATGAGAATTTAATGCCATCAAATGAAGGACATAAAAGGGGAAAAAATGTTTGATTTCTTCAGATCCATGTGCAAAAATGATAAAATATATTGAAGCAGAATATATGGATTATTGATTTCCTTTTCCTTTGGAGTTATAAATGATATTCAATGTGGTTACATTGTCCAAATCAACAATGTCAATTGAGGGCAGCAGTAAACATTTTTTTCATATTTTAAGAAGCCTAACGAATATCAACAAAAATTCCACCAAATTAATATTTATTAATTTAAAATTTTAATTTAAGGTTAAGATAGAGTTTAAATTTTTGTTAATATCAAGTAACTAAGTTTTCTTGTAGCAAAAAAGGTTAAGACTTGAAAAGTCACTAAATAGAAGTTAGGAATAGAATGTTAAAGGGTTTTTTTAATTAAAATTGCCATGCAAATAATGTACATTTTTTAATTTAAATAGTACAAAAAAAATAAAAGTTTACTTTTATTTAATTGATAGTCTAATTAAAATAATTCATATAACATTGATGATAAAAATAAATTAATTTTTATATTTTTTTATACAATTTAATACTAAAAAGGTACTGTACCCTTAACTTAAGAATAAAAATTTAGCCAATGTTAAGAACAAAAGGAAAAATTTACCCTTTCAAGTACTGTTAACAAAAAAGAGAGAATTTACGCAAGTTAAAGTCCTAATCAAATATTGTTAGTTCACCATTCTAATAGATGTTATTTAATATATAATCCCTTTTTACTAACCATTCTCCTTATGAAAATTGAGACCCATGCTGACTCCTCAATTCTTCTCAATTTTCCTAATCATGTCATAATTTCAAAGATATTAATCTATGAATTTATATTTTTTTTCATGTCCCTATATTAATTTCTAGAAAAAAAAAATGACTTGTGATTAAAAGGTAATTAAGAAGGAAAAGCATGGTTGTCTAGGAGAGGGAGAAAACATGAAATGGCACTAGGAAAATTGAGAACAATATTTAAAACCAAATCCAAGCAGCATGCTCCCACAACATGAATGCAACATTTTATTTTAATTACAAGAAAATAAAAGCCAACATGCAAAATGGTTTTAGACTATAAATATGTACATGATGCTTCCTGCAATCTGCAAAAACAAAAGAGCCTCACAGATCTTCAGAATATCATGAAGAGAAAGTTTATCAATTTCATGGGAGTTGGTAGTACTGATGCTGCTTCAGGTTCCAACAATATCCAGAGATCATCTTTCAAGAAAGTGCTAACCCAGGAGGATGTTTGTGAGTTCAAAGATCAATTGACTAATAATAAGCAGGACTTTGAGACTCACATTCTTCCTCATTTGAAACCTGAGGAGAGGAGGTATATAAGGGGCAAGAGATTTGTGGATGTTCTGGTTATTGATGACACAAAAGGTAATCGTTGCAGCATGAGACTAAAACAGACTGCCAATTACTATCATACTATCGGAACTGAAACTATAGTTGAAGGAAGTAACTTCCAAGCAAATCAGGAAATTCAAATCAGTTGGAGAGATAATGCCCTACACATTTCATATTAATCCCAGAAGAAATGTGAATAATGCATACATATGTCGTGAATATATCCATACATCTCAACGTGGCTGTGTGAAAGCATGTACTCAGTTACGAATTATACAAAATAAAGCTCCAACTAAACTTGCACACAGCATGACTTGAAACTGCAAAACAATTTTTTTTTCCTAACTTTCATTAGGATTTCTCGTTTGTGCCATTTAAAATCTCAACCTTAGCAGAACAAATATCTTGTTAGTTTCTTAACAAAGATAAAGAAACTGCAAAATTTGAGGTTCCTAGATGAGATACGAGCCTAGCTGGCAGGAAATATTTGAAGCAGCTTCTCTGCTTGCTCTGGGAAGAAGGTGACGAATAGAAAGGCACCTGATCAATTCAAATATTAGATTACTAAGTACTTCAATCCTCAGTTTGGCTCATGCAAAATATGAAAGAAAGGAAATTTTTGACATAGGATAAATAAAAATATGAGGCCATTCTTCTCAAGTCTTGATAAATTTTGTTCTTTGGACTTCTGCATGACATTACATTAACAAGATAAAAGAACAATTTAATTTCTAATCTGATTCATTTTTGTTTTCCAACTTTTCTTCGATTTTTCCCTTCCTTTCTTTCATGCTTTCTATGAACAAAACAAAGAAAATTAGGAGAGGGTCGAAATCCTTACAGACAAGTACTGTTCCAAGCACAGCTGAGATCTTGCCTTGAACTGTTACCAAGCCAGCTTTTCCAGCATTTTGCAACTCTGTAGAACCTATGGAATCAAATGTACCTGGAAAGGCAAACCAAGATAAAGAAGAAAAAAACATCCTTGATTCTCATGTTTTGCATTAAGGACAAGTTGGTCTTAACAGAATCAATGTAAATTAAGAAGTTTTAACCTGGTGTTACTGACTGCAACCCTGATGTTATGCATGCTATATTCTGGAAACCTGCTTGTTCCAACTCCTTGGCTGCAGCAGCAGACCTTGACATTAAAAAATATTAATCATGTCAAAATTTATCAACAATAATCAAAATTTACTAGACCTTTTATCTTGTATATAAGCAGAATTAACTTGATATGCAGTGATGAGAGAGCAGAAATAAACTCATATCAATTGATCATTCAATACTTGGGATCATCTAATAGTAGATTTGAAGCAGCATGGCACAATGGCAAAGAAGAATTATATCAATAGAGCTTATGTTTACCGAAAAATACAGAAAAGAAAAACGAAAAATGGAGCTGATAAAGTTGCACATTTAACATTTAACAAATTTACAAATCTTCCACTGCACTTCATGGGTCATCTTAAATAGATTGAAGTTATTGCCCCTTTGCATCCTAAAATTCCCCCATTTTTGGGTATTAGTTTAAAATTGTGAGCCTTATACATTTACAATCTTAATCGTCCGGATACAACAATAAAACAAGACTGATAAGAAGATTTAAGGACATAAAACTTGGATAATAACCCACATTGTTAAGTTACATATGGCTCAAGGGATTCTTGACTTGTCTCATGTTTTCAATCTGTGATTATTCTGCATAATGGATAACGAGATGAAAATTTTGCATGTGATCCAATCACAAGAGAGTGAACCCTAAGGGAAAGCAGACAAAACAAGAGGAACTTGGAAAACAGACCTCAATCCTTCCTGACATACAATTAGCAGTTTGCTTTCGGGTGAAAACTGGCTCCTAACAGATTGTAAGAAATTAGGATTAGGTTTAGTGAATAGCAACCCAAAAAGTAAGCCAGCAAAATTGTTGTGTACAGTTCTCTTTATAACAGTGCCTGCACAAAACAACAACCATGTGGGTCAAACAAACAAGCAACATATTGCTTCATGAGTAAAGTAGTTCATAGATTGAAGGGGGAAATAAAGAATAATTTACCAAAGTCGTTGTCTTGGTTTTCAATGAAAAGAGGCACATGATAACATGATTTGATATGAGCTCGTTCAAACTGAGATTTGTCTCGGACATCTACAATGGCATAACCATCAACTGCTATGAGCTTCTTTGCTTCTTCAGCATTCACAAAATTCACTTCTGCTCTTATTCTCGAGTTTCTCCAAACAACTGATTTCCCTGGGATGGTTCTTCCACGATGAGTCTTAAATTCCAACCAAGATGTCCGGAAATTGCTGAAAACACATTCTTAATCCTTTACTTCTATGTTCATAATTTTTTGTTTGCACTTCTACACCACCTCAACGTCACCAGGATTGACAATTAATTTTTGCAAATCAGACAGCAAATTTATAACTTCTTTGATAATTAAAGGTAAGGTTCCAACAAACAAAGTACACATTCTTGAATCAGGTATTCTAAAAAACAAAAAAGTGTTGTGCAGTTCAAACTGCAGGAGACTACACAACTTAAACAATTGGATAGGGGCAGACCCCCTGATATTGGGGCTCTTCCTCATCCAATGATTCCTGTTTTGCAGTTCGGACTACAAAACAGAGAACTCTTCTCGTAATTACTGTGGACCAAGGGGATAAAACAAATAACCATGCCTCTATGATTCCACAGAACCGTTAGGCTGAGTAGTAATTAATTCAAAAACTTCACGTATATTCCCCCCATTTTCTGAGGAACCAAACAGAGTTTCATGTGAACAGGATAGATGGATATAAGGAACGATTAAACAACAGAAGTAAATAAAACTCTTTTTTCTTCTTCTTCTTCATCGTCTTCTTCTAGAAATGAGAACTCCAACAGAGATAAAAGGAACACGAAATAGTAAGTAAATCTGCTTAGAAACTGAAAAAGAAGAGATTTTTACCTGTTGCAGGAGAGACTCGAACAAGAAGAACCAATCCCAGCCATTGAAAAAATTGCTTTGGCTTCTTCACTTCTGCAGCTCTCTCTCGCTCTCTCTCTCTCTCTTTCTGTGCTATCAACACGCAAACCCAATTTTGAGTGAGAAAAATATTGTGGCCCCAAAGAAATTTGGAAGGGGCAATGGGTTGCTGACACGTTACATAAGAATCGGATATAGTTCTCACTTCTCAACATCAATCGAAATTATTAGTACTCACTCCTGCCCTGGTTTGCCAAAAATGAAAAACTCTTGTCCCATTCGCCATTTTTTTTTTTTTTCTCAATAAACTGCGGTACAATTTAGGCTGCATTGCAGAACAGAAAATTCATTTTCTATTTTCATCCGTCCTAATGTCCCGTGTATGGCTGTTTTTTCTGTTAGGAATTGTGAAAAGGTTTGAAGCTTTGAACCCCGGAGAACACTTCAGGATCTCCCCACTCTTTAAACATGATTTTCTCTTAAGTTCATATACATATAATTGCAAAAAGTAGTAATTGATTCAGAAATAACATCTAACATGACTTTGAGAATTACAAAGCATATTTATTCAAATCATGCATTCTTGCTCTAAAAGTCGAATGGCAAAAGAGAACCAAGAGTATGATCACATCTCCAAAAACAAACACATATAGCCAACTCAGAACAGCAGCCTTGACCCTTTCTCACTAATTAAAGTTGGGAGTGTCTTCCTTCCCAACAGCAGCATGACAGAATTATGACTCAGGAGCAGATCTTTTCTTAGTGGTGTACGGGTAGTACTCTTTTCCTACGTCTGTTCTTGTTGTTTGACCTCCAGCATCAATAGCTGCTGACGTGACCGCTAATGCCGTTCCAGCAGAAATAGCTGTCGAGATGCTTCTTCCTGAAAAGTGGGCAGCAATCAACCCATATTAGAAAAGAATACCCGAAGAATATTAACAAGTAGCAGGAACTAACGAAGCTAAAGCTAACATGGATTGGTCAGACTATCAAGTTCTGCTTCAGTCACATGTTTAGAACATGGAATGTCTCTGTGTTCTCTTTGAGAATGTAAAAGTTTTACTGAAAAAAATGACTATAAGTTGTGATGACAGAGGATCTAAAATTGATTGGTTAGGCCATAAAGTTAAGGCTCAATCAACTGCATAGGACATGGAAAGCCCTCCGTGTTCTCTTTAGGAGCATTAATTTAAGAGCATTAAAAATTTAATAGAAAGTTATCTCTTAAGCCAGCATATTTAATTTAATACATAACTTCAAAAAAATACTGAATAAATTGTCAAAGAAATATTCAACAAAGCAGCACAAATAAGCAAAACTACTTGAGAGCACTTTAGCATACACAACTTGGCATCCTTGTTAGGATGATGTTAAAGCTCCCAAGAAATATTACAAGCTTCCAAAACTTGAAGGATTGGCAAACCCATAACCCATACTGCATAAATTAATAAAGTGTCCACAGCGTCCAGAGTAAGTCATTTATCAAGAAAGGAACAGTCAAACCACCCAAGTCACTCCCAACTGACATCTTATCTCAGCAAGTTAAATTCCCTAGGATTTGATAGGGCAAGTATTAAAATGAAGAATACCAGCCATCAAAGGATTAAGAAAACACTCACCTTTGTAGCCAAGAATGGTAGCTCCAGCTACAAAACCACCAACAGCACCATTAATAAAATCTCTTTTCATCCTGTAATTCTGCAGCAGCTGCTCAACACCAATGTAGACTCCTCCAATAGCAGCAAAAGTCATTCCATAATTTCCCATCATCTTGAGTGTCCTAATCAGCCCTGGAAGGGCAATGCTTCTCTCTACACGAGGAACATCATACCAAGTGGCAACAATGGTCCCCCAAATAGTTCCAGCAACCAAACCTGTGGTGGCACCCTTGATTGTTTTCATTGTTGGAGTATCCTCATCCTCCAAATACCTAAGTTCTGAAGGATCCATGGCTATCTTCTTCTAAATGGGCAATGCCAAAATATTTAGAATAAGATCAGCATAGACAATAACAACCTTTAAGATAATAAGAAAATGAGTTCAGTAAATACAATATTTACTACATATTGAATACTCTTCTTGTATGAATTAATTCTCGATGAACAAAGCTAACAACCTTATTGACGTACTAAAAAAAAACCTAAATTTCATCTACAGAAAGAGTATAGATGGCTGATTAATTGACATAAAATCAAACCCACATTTACAGTACAAAAGCCCTTTACAAGCCACTGCCAGACACAACAAAGCAGCATCTGTTTAGGGAAATACATAACACAGCAACATAAGGCTGTTTCTTCAGTTTGAACTTTGAAGAACTGTTCTACGAAAATCAGCAAAACATTTTGCTCTCAAAACCCGGTTTCCAAGATGCTAACCCAACAATACCAAAGTAGAAAAATCAATTTTTTTCCTCAATTTCGTGAACAAGGAAACAAATTTAAAAATGCCAACCACATGAAGGAGAAAATCTGATCCCAGAAACAGCCTCCCCAATCTTAAAGCTGAACCCAAGAAAATCCCTTGGATTTCAGCGAAATCGACTCCAACCGAGGAATGGTATGATCCGAGTAAAATCATGGAAACAAGAAGCTAATCGAATCAAGGATACTCAATTGAAACAACCATATCAGAGCAAATTAAAGGAAACCCTAGATTTTGTGGCAGCTGGTCGAGACAAATTCGAATCCATAAGCACGGTAAATCAAACACCATTACTGAAGCTGAAATGCATTGAGGATGAGGAAATCAGAGAGAAACGTACCTTCGATGAGACTATGGAGAAGGCGGACTGCAGAGCTATGAAGTTCAGTCTAGAAATGGTATCAGAAAAGAAATTCGTATTTACATTGGGTTCTATTGAAAATTGAAAATTAATCTTTCAGGCTTTAAAGTTTCCCATTATTGTATTTTATAACCCTTAACTTTTCGCTTGACTCGGTTGACATAATAATTAATCCAAGTGTTTAATTAAAAACTAAAACAATGTTAT